CCGCCGCAGCATTGATGTATTGATGGGAGGCGAATGCAGACTGACAGAGGTCGCAATTCATTCCCTGCGTTACCTTGAGTCCAACCGCGGCTGCTGCTGCTGCCAACGCCGCTGGTTTCTATTAAACATCAGTGAACGCCTTATTATCAAGCTGGTTTGTGCGTTGGAGGAGGATGAGTCATTTCAATAATCTGACTTCTGATCTCGGCCCATTTTCACCACTGACAGCTGAGTCAATCATCGCCGCAAATGTATTTCACAATAATAGGAGGGGACAGCTAGAAGTTTTCATTTTATCGTTTACATCTGATAGACTGTCATTTGTTGATTTGTATTGGAACACCCAGAAAGTAAGAAATGTACCATTATAGACATGCACATCTGCACTGTAAATCACACACAAACACAGACACACATATATATTTAATGACGCTTCCATGATTGAATATCACCCACGGAGAATTATGTTTTAGTTCTGCTGAGCTTGCGGGGACATCCAGTTGTAACAGAGGAGTATTGTGACTGATGAATATCCAATATTCCCTCCCTTTTTTTGGTGTCACACTATTGATCTTTTTACTAAACGCTGCACTGTGTTCACCAGCTAGCCACTAAATGTGTCTGATATCTGAATATCTGCGCAGGTATACATTTACAGGGGGGTTCTTTTGTTGCATTGCTTGTTTCCAGCAAGTGGTTCCCACTGCTGCTGAGCTGCTAACTGAACAAAGTAGTGCCAACATCTCTGCATGGAATCACCGCTAAATGTGTTAGAAAGAAAGGAAGAAAGCCTTGCACGGCAAGAAAAGGTAAAAATTGGATCATTATCACATTCACAACCCTCTGAAATTGGATGCCTTGCCAAAGAGAAGCAGTTCTGCCATTGAATTAGAGGCCTTAGTTTGATATACAGTGGGCTCCAAAAGTCTGAGACTTTCCCATGGGAAAGTCTCAGACTGTATGTTCAATAATTTAGTATGGCCTGTGAAGGATGTCATAAAAATTGAAATGGTCCTTGACAGGAAAAAGGTTTCCCACCCCTTGACTCGGCAACACTAATGGCTCTTTGTGCGTGTGTGAGGCTTTCAACTAAATGCTAATATCTGTGTGCTAACATGTCACATTAACTTATTTTAAGAGAGAGACAGCATCATGATACCCAGGCCTCATAGTTCTGGCCCGGGAAGTCATAAAAAACTTGATGCAGATGATATTTTTGATATTTTCAGACTGCATTTCATGTCTAAATAATGATCTGTTGTCATTTTGTCGTGCTGAAAATAATAAGTCAGGATGGATTGCTCCAAACCAGCATAAGTGGAGCAGACAATACAGCTTGGCAGCTTTTGAAGGTATCAGTAAGCAGAAACTGGGGCCGAGTGTGGAGCTGGCTCATGTTTCCACTTGTGAGAGTCAAAGAGCGTGCCACCCACCCCCCAGCACAGCGGGAGGAAGACATAAACCTTGTTACTGACCATAGCTCCGGCACGACTGTTCTCAAATCCGAGAGTTTTGTTGTCATTTGCAGAAATAAAGAGGTTATCTTCGTTTGCTGTGACTCTCTTTGGATGACAGTTATTGTATACCAGAAACTAAAAACGTATAATATTTTAGGATGTACAAGACTGTAAGTAACTGTGGTCTCTCACTGAGAGTGTTGTGTCCACAGAGACAAAGAAACAGACTGAAAAGGATGGTAGAGGACGTCATGGGCACATTGTGGAATTGGAAGTTGCATTTCCATTTCAAGGTCGACTTGTACATAAGGTGCCAAGAACTTACTTGCAAACCTCTCTGTCCTGGTTTTGCCCTTGTAAACTGTTCTCCCCACTACAAAGTAAGCACAGGACATTAGCGCCAAGGTAGCACCTGCATGTCTTATAATCAATAAAACCATGACAGGCAGACTGCTAAATAAATTAGTTTTCAACATTACAAGGGCCGGGGCACCATTTTGGAAATTGTTATCATTAATTATGCTGGTCCGCGTGATCACAGAATACTAAGGAAGGACGCTTGCAGTTTTCGGTGTCTCTAACAGATGTATGTGATCAGATTAAAGTTCAGTCATAATCAAAAGAAAGCATTTCTAGCAAACATATAGACGTAAAACATTTCTCAATCGCCCCCCCCCACGCAGCGGGTCGCCGACTCATTCCAATTCCTTTAAATGCACGTTTCACACGGTCCATTTCAAGGAGAAAATAACACGCTGGCTTTGATGTTTAACACATCAAGAGTGCAGTTTTTTTTTTTTTTCTTCCTGAACGAGTCCTCTCGTCCGAGGCCAACTTCTCTGAGTGGGGAGGGGGGGGGCACTTTTGATCACTCTGAGCTCACGCCATGCAGGAGTTGTGCAATGTTTGAAACCCCCAGTGGGATCTGCACCCTCTCTGGTGCACAATCATTTAAGGATGCAGAAAATCAAATGCACATTTTCTTAGTTAGTGACCCGGAAAGTTACCACAGACAATGTGACACACCCACGAGTATCAGAGCCAGTATTGTTTGCCAATTCATATCTGGTGGCCACATACTGAAATCTGCAAACTGGTTCTTTAAAATGGGATTTGAAGAGGGAGTTGTAACACTATTTTTATTTACGTTGTGGATTTATGTGTGCTGCACCTGTACATTCAAATATACATGAATAATTTACTGATAAAAAATAAAAAAGAGGCTGCTTGGCTCGATGTGCAGCCTTCAACAAGATAAACTTAACCATCAAAATGATTTGCAGGGATTATCTGTACATATTTAATGTCAGGAACTGTCGGAAAAAATAATTAACAGAGGTATGGGGGCGTCCAAATTCCTTCTGACTTATAGAGTCAGCCTTCCCTTGTGAGATTTACAAGTAAAAAGAAATCTGCTGGCTACATTAAAATAGTTCCTCATCAAGACGGTATTCGTGTGCACTGTGGCTCATAAATGTGTGTTATGCAGATGTCAACAATCCTGTTTCTATTTCTGTGTCTTGTTTTTTCCATGCAACCACAGTCAACTAGTACATAATAGGACCAGCATGTCAGTTTGAGGGAAAATAGAAAGACCTAGATCATTATCATTACTAAAGGTCCAGTGTGTAGGATTTCAGGGGGGATCTATCATCAGGAATTGTGGATGATATTCATCATGACGTTTTCATCAGCGGACAATCACTTGAAATAAGGATAATTGTGTTTTCAGCTCTTAGAATTTGCCTTCAGGAGTAGATCCTCTTCCAGAGTCCACCATTTTGCACTGACATGTTTCTACAGAGGCCCAGGCTCTAGAGAAGGCCTTTAACACCTGACGGTCACTCTGGGTTTCCTTTGGACGTATATATGCCCTTGTCCTTCTCAAACAGTTCCACAATAAAGTGTCACTTTGTCATTGCTTACATGCTAGATGTTGTGTGCAGAGCTTTTTACAGGCTACGGTGCAGAGTGAAGTTAAAAGACTTTGTGTTCATCCTATCTGGTTTATCTGCAATGAAAATTATAGTCAATGTTTTTCATAAAATGAAACTGAATGTGCTTTATTGCTTTCCACGTGTTTGGTTCATACTGCATATTGGCTATTTTCGAGGTCCGTTAAGCAACCAACACACTCTGCAGACTCACAACTTTTCTAAATAAAAGCTCTGCTCTGTGGAACTATACAGCAACAAAACAGACCTTGTGCTTTTATTTTGGAGACAACGATCTGAAAAGGGAATGATTTAACAAATATTGTTGCCATGATGGATTTGTGCCAGTCTGATGTGGTGACATAAAAATAATCCGATTTTCAAAACGAGGCGGTGGCATTGATATAATAGCCTTTATTGGCAGTTGCAAACCGCTGTTGTGGTTTATGCAACGATATATGGAAGAAGACATGGACAACCCCGTCCCCACAGACTGCTATTCAATACACATGTCAAGCGTGAAGGAGATAAGTTGAATGGCTCGTGGGATATGTGTTTAGTATATAGACATTTATGGAATTAGTGGGTATAGAAATAAGGGTTCAGGTAATTTTGCATGCTTTTGTATTGTAAAATTGTATATAGCTTAAAACAATATTTATCCAATACAGGTTTTCATTTAGGCTATTTCTAAGTGACATTGTTTTGTATACTAACATGATTATAAAAAATAGCCATTTAAGTAAATGTAAATTTCTGTCACCTTCATCTTCTCATTGGACCCTCCATCCTTGCAACTACAACAGTTACAGATTTTAAATCTTGAGCCCTAGCAGAGATGACTTTACTTTAAGAAATATGTATTCTATTCAGCAGTCCTCCTCTCTCAGTCACTGCCTGCTTTGTGGTAAACATATTTAGGCTGGTTGGGGGGGAAAAAAACTAGAAATGGTTGTAAATCCTTGGTAAATATGTTTATGATGCTGCAGGCTGAGCTATTCCTTATCCTAATGAACTACCAGCAGAACCTCCAGCCTCGGCCATGTAGTGCAGTCAGTCATCCGTATTATAGAGAATACTCCATCACAGTTACTCTGAGCTTCATTTACATGCACAGAGAGAGGAACGGCAAACTAAGTGGCTCTGTATCCCGCGGAATTCAATCCGTGCTTCTCAGAATTGACTCAAAAACCTACCATTGAATGTGACACACACACACACACACACATCAAAAAGACCATCAATGTGTGGATGTTCATAGGAATGTGGCATGATGTAATCATTGCTGAGCCTTTGGAGTTTCTCAGTGGAGTTTGCGTGTAGAAGAGCACTCATCCTTATTCCCACATACGGCACAATCCCCCCTGGGGCGGTTACAAACCTTTTGTTTGCACACAAACTCAAGAATAATGGAGAAAGAATGAAAGTACAGAGCTTTGTTTTCTCATGGCTTTGCCCTCCCAAAGGAATACAGCCTGGTTACACCATCGTTATTCATTTTCTCAGAGGACAAAGGTCACCGCTGGATACCGAATAGAAAATGCTGATGTGGAATGGGGGGGGGGGTCAAATAATACGAAATTAAAAAAGTGTTCTTATTGACGTGGAATTTATCTTCAGTTAAAAAACATCTTTGTACAGGGTCTCTAACGGTTTACAAAAGGCTGAGCACACATAAAGTACAGATGCATTATGTTTACAGTAGACACTCATCCAGACACAAATACACCACAACTAATAAATACAGACAAACAGTATATACAGCATTTACAGAGCACAGGGGCTGAAACGGTGAATCAGCTGCAGGACATGTTTTCAGGTTTTAAAATGAAGCAGCCACTCGGCGACACTGACGGTACGATAAACATTGCGTTGGCATGCAGTTCCAGCTACAGGACAGCAGGGGATTAGGGCCGGGTATCAAACCTCATTACTTCTCCAGGGTAGAGTAACAGCACAACAGAAGAGTTGCCTTTAAACGGATAAGTGGATTCACAGCACTGCTCAACTCTCCCCTGATCACGTTGCATTTGTACGTTTTTTTTTTTTTACTACATTTGATTCAACTGCTGTTTTGTTGATTTGATTCCTCGCTGTTTCGCAGACCTCAGAGCTCCTCCAATTCAATTCACCACACCTCCAAAAGACAGCGGGAGCATGAACCCCATTATAACCGATGTTGAAAGGCAGTTTTTTCTTTGGCGATGTTTTCCTTCTTTATGTTTCGGAACCAGATGTTGGAAAATGGTCAAACCACACCCAGTCCTACAGTGAATATAAATCTATAGCTACTGTATCTACATGCTATAATGATGGTCATAGTAATATCACTTAAATTTCACAAACAAGTGCTGAGATTCATCTCTCAGACGGGAAATACAGCAAGTTGCACAAAATGTTATGGCTGTTTCAGAGTGATGCAGTGGATGAACTGGATTTATTAATCAGGATATCACGCTAACTGGGATACCTCTGTATTAAGAGCATGGTTAGCATTGTTGCCGTAAATCTACCGTTCTACCAAACAGTCCAGTCCACTGGAAGACACTGAGGGGAGGGATTCAAACAGCTGCCAGTCGGGATGCTGCGCTCGTCTTCAGTGATCGCCGCTCTGTAGATTTCTTATCATCCTAATGTTGGGAGACTCGGTTCATGCAGGCTGATTGGCTGTCCGGACTCAGTGCCTCTCTGTGATTCGCAGTTTATGGGGATGCTTCCTCTGCCTGGATCCTGAACGATGGCAGACAGAGACATGAGGTTAGCTGTCGGTTTTTCTTCTAAAAGTTGAGGTTCAGTGTGTAAGATTTTGTTTAAAGGGATCTATGAGGAGAAATTGACTATAAAAATAATTCTAGTGATGTTTTCACTAGTGTGTTTCATGTAAATCGTACAAATTGTTGCTTTTCTTTACCCTAGAAAAGGTCCTTTATATTTAAATACTTATATTTACATGTTTTTTTTACATCTATGGAGGACGCCATGTTTTTTACATTAGTCCAGACTGGACAAACTAAACACCTTTTGAGTTTTTATGACAATTAAAGCCACCACAGGTTCTCATTCATGTTTGGAAGGGGACAGTGAGGTGAGGGGTGTTCAGCTGCAACATGCAACTTCACCACTAGATGTCTCTAAATTCTACACACTGAACCTTTAAGTCAGAGACTTTGATGGTGACTGAAGTTCAATCAATGACATTTAAATCCTTAACTTTGTTTCTTGATAAGGATGCTAAAAACATATTTCTAAGTTTAATTCATTGGCAGGTTTTGTTGTTGTTGTTTTCATGTCTCTTACTGTGCTTCGTGGGGTTTTGGTATCCAGGGGTCTGGAAGGTTCGGCTGATTGCAGGACCTTCCCCTTCTCCTGTGATGGCACGCACCTCCAGCCTGTACAGACTGGCAGGGTGCAGGTCTGACACCACCAGCACTTTACCGTCCTGAATGACAGGAGTAAAGACACATGCAGTGAGGGGTGGAGGAAGAGGAAGAAGACAGTTTCAAACGCTGAAGGTGTGTGAAATCATGAGGAAGGTGAAGACTTCAAGTATTTGACAGCCCAGTGGACCTTGAGATTTGTCCACGGGGAAAATACAAATGTGAAGCTGCATTAGAAATCAAATAAAAAGAGGAAATTAAAAGAAGCCTCTTTATATTTTAGAAACAGAAATGGAACTTCGTACCAGAATGACAAATGGATATCATTGGATGATAATTCTGAAAGGGTTGTGAAGCTGAAAAATCTTGAGAAGAGCAAATGGTAAAAAGGATGGAAATGTAGATCATTTTGAGTTTCATTATTATTAATATTTTCATTTTCATTTTTGTTAATAGGGCTATTTCATTTTTCACCAGTAGTCATTTGTAACTGTATTTATATTCATATTCGCAATGTTTTTTTCTGGTTTAAATAATTTTGCATAATAGTGCCTGCTGTTCGAGAACAGTGGTTTCAAGTGTTAACACTTTCAGCGCACCCCTTGCACTCTTTCTGAATAACACCAAAATTAAAGCCTGAAATATTTATTTGAATGGTATGTTGTTCGGGTTCATTTATTCATCTATATTTGATGAACTGTTGCTGTAAATATTTTGAAGCATTAAGTCAAAAAATCTAATTTAATATTAAAATGAAGTATGATTCTGGCCTAAAACAGAGGTCACATGTAAATATATGTAATATTTAGGAGAAGTATTGGTGTAATAATGAGTTTGACTTTGTCTGCTGTGTCTCGACTAAAGATTATTTGACTGTTTAGACATGTACCAATGACACTGGGAAATATAATGTTACTATAATGACAGGGATGGTAACACACGAGGATCAGAATACTCCACAGTACAGCGGAATTCCCCTTTTTTTTACTGAATATGAAAATCCGAATATCAAGATTTATACGGCACTACAATTCACAGCATAACTGACCGGGGGTAGGATCTGGGACTGGGAGATGAGGCTGTGAGGCAGCTTGTTGTTGCTGTGGTGGTTGGTGGGGACGAGCTCCGTCCAGGTCACCTGGTAACCAGTCAGCTGCTGGTGGGACAGGACCTTTAACAAATCCCAGCTGAAGATGGCTGTCACGTTGCCTCCCCGGACCTCAAAGGATGCTGTCAGGTTGGCTGCCTTCAGCAGGACCTTCTGAGGGGACGCTGCGGGGGAAAAAAAAGCAAAGTCCCGGTGGTTAAATGCCGAGCAAGCTCTTACAATGTGTAAAAATACCAATACATCAGTACCAAAGTTTCCAATTGTCTCACATGTTTCTCCAGGGCAGGAGATGGAACCTGGACTCTTGGCCTGAATGGTGGAACAGGAAGGAGTGAAGAAGCTAGTGCTTTCTGCCAGAGGACGACTCTTCTGGCTGACTGGCTGCAGGAGGACTTTATACTTGCAGGCGAAGAGCAAACCCTGCAGGCCGACGAAGTTGTCCTGGAGCAGACAAAGTCAAGTCCCCAAAAATGTTAGATCCCAAATGATAGAGTTTAACCTAGTTTGCCAATCAACGATTCCGACGATCTCTTTGCTCAATCAATAACAATAATTATTTACAAATGTGATCTCCTCTGCCCATAAAGTCTGTCAGCCTTTGCATGTGTATTCATGTGCACAGTGACAATCTTCTTTCTATGTTACCCGTGTGCTGGTCTTCTCCATGGGTCTGGTCTGGTTGTGTCCACAAAACTCTGGCCCCCACTGGATTCTGTAGAACTCAACTGAAGGATCTACGCCAAAGAACAAATGATCCCGTGACTCAAGGTCCAAAACAACGAATGGATTTGAAGGAGGAATATTTAATCATGACCACAGTCGGAAAATAACAACCTCGATCTAAAACTAGAAAAATACAGATTATTGTTGAAGGTTGAGTGTGTAGGATATCTAGAGGTGAGGTTGAAGATCAAAAAATAAAACCCTCAAAAGGTGATGTTCATGAGTCAGTGTGGATTCTTGCTTTAAAACCATTCGATTCAATGGGGGGGGGTGCAAGGTTCACAAAATATTTAGCATTTGATAAGTCATTTAAGACAATCTAAACCAAGTTGTAATGATGTATTACTGTGTCACTACTCTCTTGTTACATTTCAAATGTGTCCATAAAACATTTTTTTTAAATTGCTCTTCTTGCAAAACAAATTATTGATGATCCCGACCGCGCTCAGGGCTGGTCTCATCAAATCTAAAGAATCTGACTGAAAACTCACTTCTGATTTCATCCCACCCACATCCATGCGTCAATATCCTCTCATTTTCAATGTATTAGTTGTACAAATGTTACCTTATTTGAAAAAGAACTGGAAGTGTCTGTGAAGCATGTACCCATTCTTTGGGTCACAGACATGTTAGCCAGGACTGTCTCTTCTGATTCTGCTGTGTGTCTTCGTGTGCAGACCAGGGTCAGATTCACGCGCTGCAGTCTAAAGGCAGAGTGATGCTTCCTAAGGCTAAGAAGAACGAGGACTGTTTTAGCTTCTGAATTTGGGAATTAAAGACACCGACTGTGTCCCCCTCTTTACGGACATTATAGCCATTTAATAACCAGCCCTATATTTTACAGTAAGAAGTTTCCCGGTTTAAATTCGGTCATGTTCGTTTTATGTGGGGTTTGCATGGGTTTTTCCTCAGGCTTCCTCCCACAGACCAAATACAAATAGGTTTGTCTCTGTATGCTGACCTTGCTATACACTGGCAACCAATCCACTCTGCCTCTGGCCCAATGTCAGCCAGGATTGGCCCCCTCAAAGGATAAGCAGAAAAGAAAATGGATCGATGGGAAAAAAAAAAAAAAATGATTTGTGGTCTTTTACCCTTACTAGTTGGTCAAATTAGGAACCTGTGGTGCCACTGCAAGCGTCAGTGGATGTGATACATGTACGATCGAGCTTCTGCCCTGAACCCTCGCAGGCAATCGCACAATGTGCGAATCAGCCAGAGCTGCAATTGAGTTTTTCTGTCAATCCATGTCTAGCTCATACACACCAGGGCTGCTCTGCCAGTAAACATGAACCCGGAGCTGTCCGTCCTGGTAGAACGGTGTCCCCACATCCAGAATGTCTCCTGTGGGTTGGCTCGGAGCAGAACTGGACGCTTTAAAAAAGACAAAATAAAAACGAATCGTCATGTTTAGGTGTGTGTGTGTGTGAGGGAGAGAGAGATATTTTAAAAGTCGCTATTTTATCAGAATGTCGGCTTGTTGTATATTTTGAGGAACGCAGAGCATTGCGTTAAGTTATACTTTTCACAAATAACATTATACTTAATATTCTGGCTCGTTAACACCATATTATCAAGTATTAGGACTTTTGTAAGAAACCGAGTGTTGGTTACCTCTGTGATATTCCAAGCAGAGATTGGTTCAAGATTATTTCCTATTTTTTTACTTACTATACTAAATTAAGACTCAATTCTTGTAAAATGCCAACTTAATTCTTGTAATATTATGAGCTTCAACTCAATTTTAACTTTATTCTTGTAAAATTCCGATTTTTTTTCCCCCTCGTAATATTTCAACCTTGTCGTATAATGACTTTATTCTCAAAATCCCACCCTTTTTTTTCTTCAACATGGCCCAAACACTCCATGTTGAGACCTTGCATTGTTAACTTTTCCTCAGCCCTGCTGAAGAACGCCAGCTCTAACAAATCACTTCCACCATTTCACAATGATGCATCAGCTGGAACATTCATAGTCTATAATTGTTGAAAACATTTCTTTTTTTCTTTCCTTTTCCCCTTCATAATGTCAGCCTGTCATTTTGAAAGGCGCCATGACATTTTGAATTAAAGTTAAAAGATTCTTTCGGCTCCATCGCTCTGATAAGTTGGAGGGGCTGAATGTGGAGGATGTGTCTATGGAGCGAAGCTCTGATATATGAAGGATCAAACAAGTAAACTTTAAAGTGGGAAAAATCTGCCTTTTACACATTTAACCCCCAAAGATGTATATTTTTTATTAAAACCATACATGTACTTGTGAGAAAAACTCAAAAGAAGTAAGTCTTGCTAGAGATAAGACATTTTCTCTTCTTATACCTTGTGACAAAGATATTAAACTGCAGAATCAAAACGTAAAAGTCTTCTTACTGCGCTGTGTGTTGAAGCTCAGGACGGCTCGGGGACCTCTGAGTTGAGTTTGTCCCCAGTAGGACACAGCCTGGACCTCCACCCTGTAGCTCCTGTTAGAGCGCATGCTGTCCAGCTCCACTTGGCCCTGCTCACACACACACAATACCATTTTAATTGTCTTGGACGTTTACCTCAGACGTGTTTAATGCTTTATCAACGTCCTGCAATCGGCCCAACAGTCGGAACTATGGTACAGTTTAATCCTGACCCGAACTTCCTCTTTTGGTCGAACTGAATTTTGGTGCAAGGCTCATTTCACACCTGTTATTTTGGTTCGGACTAAACTGAAAGGTCGGAAGGTCCCGATCAAACAAGGACGGTGTGAAAGAGGCCCTTCTGTTCAAATTTGCAAGAAATGTGTGGTACATTAACAGGAGAGAGTTTTTTATCAAGTCATTGTATTGTATTGTCAGAAATCAACTGAAACTTTAATGAAAGAAAAAGTAATAATAAATGATTTATTTGAAATAAAACAATAAGTCCCCTAATATACCTTTCATAAATAGCATTATAACCAAAGTCAAATAATGCTTACGCACAGTGGGGGGTATAATTGATCGATATTTTGCTGTTTATCGTGTATTGTAGTATTTTTTTTATCTTGATATAATATTTGGTCATGTTCAAGTGCCTTGAAATAATGTATATTATGATTTTGGGCAGTACAAAACACTGCTGTGTCTGTCCTCACCTCTCTGACTGTCTTCCTCCTCTTGGTCAGAGATGAAGCGGAGGACTGTCGGACTGCAGTCCAGCTCCAGCTGACCTTGTAGTGGTGAACGGGGACGTCCAGGTCGGCGGGCGTGCTCCACTGGAGCCGGGCCGACACCGCCCTGCCGGGGCCGAAGCTCATGTTGGCCACTCTCAGCTCGGTAGGAGCAGGAGGACTGGCGGGGTCTGAGGGGTCACAGAATATTGCTTAAAGATGCTGAGAGTAATGGTGGATGACAAACATGTACAACCCTAGACACTTGCAAAACTGTATTTACTCATCTAAATACATTTTTTCTGATCACCGGTCCTCAATGTTTTACTCCTACACCCAGCCAGGGAACTATTCCAGCTCCATCACCCCTCTCAGATGCCCTCACCCCTTCTCTCATTAAAGCTACCCCCTGCTGCGTGCTTACAGTATTCAATTACACTATCGCCGATATTTCTGACTCTAAGTGCCCTATGCATAGTTAGAAAAGCAAAAATCATGGCTCAGCATGAGTTTAAAATGTATAACTCCTGGGGTTGAGGTGGAAGGAAGGAGAGTGGAGCGTAAATGGAAGAAAACGAAATATGTCTAAATACCAACAGTGTCAAACATTCCTGATTTATATCTTTAAAATCCATTTGAAGACCTGTCCCTTTTCTTTAGACGCTAAATTACTTTGATGCAGACATTAAAAGCTTTCAATAATTCACTTGTTTCCTCTTATTCATGTCTGCTTTTAATTATAATGTATTCATTAATTAAATAACACACACACACACACACGCACCCACGTCTGACCTCTGCTAGAGTGGATGTGCCGGCTCGGTGTGGTGAAACCTCTGGTTCCGTGGGTGTTGACGGCTGCCACTCTGAACTGGTACCAGCGTCCAGGCCGGGTGTCAGATAGCCTCACCCCTTGCTCTGTGGTCTAKGGGGGGGGGGGGGATCCGAATGAGGTGGTTAAGAGAAAAGATGAAGCAACACAAGACTTAGTACAAAAAACTAATCAAAGCACAATTACAAGGTATAGGTTTTTATACATATAGGACCCTTTATATTTTCACATCTGATAACCTGGGCAGCCCCCTGCCAGGGGGTGGCGGTGTCCTCGCTGGGCTGGATGCCGAAGTTCCACCTCCTCTGCAGGACGTAGACCACAGGTTCGGCTGAGATGTTGAAGCGGGACGACCAGCGCACCACCATCTGACCAGTGGGGAGTTCCTCGAAGCCCAGCTCCTTCCTTGGCTTCAGAGGAGCACCTGAGAAATAAACGGGAAAAGGTCAACACAGGATAAAGAGTCTGCAAACCACAAAATTTGATATATACAAGTCTTTTCCTGCAGCCACCCTCATATAACACTATCCACTATAATTCTACACATCGTAGCTATGTCCTGACACATAGGATATCCAGCTCTCAGTCAGCTTAGTCGACGTCCCCTGGGTCGTGTGCAGATTTACAACTTTCCACTGTGCCACAGTGTGAAAAGGCAAACCCGCTCCCCACATCTTCCTCCTCCTGTCGTGTGTCACCGGCAGCGAGGCGCGAACATGCTGCCGTACACTCGCAGTGTCTGTTTAGCCTCGGCTCTCTTTGATCCCTCCTCTGCCAGTGGAGGCCTAAGTAGGGCGAGCTCCACCTGACTCACACTCGCAGTTTGTTAGCAAGAGAATTGGGAATTGCATCATTGATCCGGGTGCAGGCCCAAGGGAACTTGGGTTGACATCTCATTAGGTTGACGAGAAGTTTATGACAGTAATGCTTGTGCAGCTTCATCAAAAAAAAGAAATGTACAGAACACCAGTGGCGGATGTTCAGTTTCACGTAAACCATAATAAATATGATCCTCTGTCTCTACCTACCTTTGTAGAGGTCTTTGGGAGACTGGCAGGTGTGGCCGCAACCATTGGAGCAGCATTTCTTCTGAGCCGAGCATTCCCGGTCGTGGTCACAGCTCTCCACGCAGGCGGCCGCAAAGCCACTGGCTCTCTCTGGAGGCGGGCAGCTCCCCTGCTTTGTCGCCAGCACCGACTGCAGGAACTCACAGCTGGTCACGCACTCCCAGTGCTTCTTGGGAAACACCCGCTGCATGAATATGAGGGAGATGAGTTAGCATAGCCGGGTAACATATTTAACGTTACAGTAGGATTACCCTGTTGTATATTTAGTTAGAAGGATTAAAGAGAAGATTGAAAGGCCACGTGAAAATGTCGTTTGTTATTGAAATAAGAAAATAGAATATTTCTGATGGTTTAAATGTTTAAAAAGTGCTGGTCAGAATTAGCCAAGGAAGATACAACATCCATGCATGAGTTGAAATAATTTGAAAAACATGTTAATCAGATTGAATATTTAAAAAGTAACGACAATAACATTTGACAGGAGAGACGCACAAACATTTTGACGACACTTGATTTTTCGACACTTCACCCGCGATCCATTCATGTTGTAGTTTTTGCATTGGACCTCTATCATCTGTAGCCTCCTGTCCCAGCTCTACTTTGCCAAAACAAGCTCATGCTTAATAGATTTTAAATGAAATCAATAGTTCCACAAAAATGACCCGAGGCTGTTTTTCAGTCTATAAACACAAAAGCATCGTGTGTGACTGTGTGTTACTATGTACCTCACAAAGCTCCCTGCAATTGCTCTTCCTCTTCATCTCCCAGGAATCTTTGCAGGGCTCCAGGCACTGAGGACATGACAGTGACAAGTGTTAATAAGAGTTACAGTCACATTTGAATGAGGAGATTTGGAGGTGAATCGAACTTTCTAGGTTGATCAAAGGTAAAATATTTCCCCTGCAGCCAGCTTCTATTACCTTTGAATGAACTGCGTTAAAAGATAATTTAATCCAGCTAACATCTTTATTTCAGGTGACAATAACTCCTCCGACCGAGGATAAGCTTTACCCGTCTCTGCCATCATCAGATGAAGGGTTTGAGATATATTTTTACATCAACAAACAAAACAAGAAAGTGAAAAATATAGACACAGGTAGAATAGATTATATTTCCGTCCTGCCTTGTTTTTTCATGTCCTTCCTTTCATTCTTTTTTCCTTCCTTCCTCACTTCCTTCATCATTAACTTCTTTATGTCCTTCCCTTTCTTCTACCTCTGTTATTTTTCTCTTCCTTCCTTTCTTTCTTTCCGTCTCATATTTGATTGTTTTCCTATTTTCTTCCTTGCATCCATCCATCCTTCCCTCTTGCTTCAAACAATAGATTCAAATGTACTATTTTCAGCTGGTGTGCATGTGGCTTGAATGCATGTTCATTCAAGTAAATCATTTAAATCAAGGATGTGACCTTGTCCCCAAAGGCAGCTACAGTAATACCTAACGAATTCTGGTCAAAGAATGTAGCATATCCCGAGCTAGAACAAAGATCACCAGCAGTATCTTTTATCGCGTCAATAAGAGAGCGTTAATGTAATCTGAACTGGAGTCACAGTTTAAACATTTACATTTAAAAGTAAGGAAAGGCTGGGAAATGCTGTCCTGCAGTCTCAGGCTGCTCGAGAGCAAGTCAACAGTTAACAGCATTGCCCTCTATACCGTAAGCAGGGGCAGCGGTGGGGAACGAGGGTACACTGATTGTAATTTCATGCTGTAGTGAGAAACAGTGGGGAGGGAAGGGATGTACAGCAGCATCACAAGGACGCACCAAGTTCTCTGAAAGTTAGAGATGCACCCCGAACTCTGAACAAACCTTGGAGGGGAGGTGTCTACCTTTATAGAAAGCAAATAGGTCTTGGCTATAGGGTCAACTATATATATATATGTTATATATAGTTATAACTATATTATGTTAGGAAACTATCTTTATTCACATTATAAAAACAATCTGTATCTGGTTCTTGGTGATCCTGGGAGTCGTGTTGTCAAGGTCTCCCCAGGCAAAGTGAGTGGGGCCGTGTAGGGAGAAGATGAGAGTCAGCACCCCCCAAGTTTGAGTCCATGGTTCAGAGCAGGTTTCTGCCTCATGTGCAGGAGTCTCTTGGGGTCTGTAAGTTTTGAGTGAGGGTAAATTGGAGTGAAAGCCTGGACAGGCAGATTGCCGTAGCATCAGCTAATGTGGACATTGCACTGGGCTGTTGAGGTGAAGAGGGAAACGAGGTAGAAAACAAAGCTTTCGATTTACCAGTTGAAATACATTCCAACTCTCACCTGTGGTCGTGAGCTTGGAGCATTGAATTGAAATTGGAAGAATAAGAGCGCAAACACAAGCAGGCCAGAATGGGTTGAAAGGATCCAGTTGGAAGTAAGCGGTGTTCTCGGCAGCTCTAACACTCTGGAATAGCGTGGACGCCAAGCGATTCTGTAGCGTTGTTGGTGTAACATGTATCTCTGGCCTGTGAACACCTTAGTGTCCCAGAGAAGGTAATGGAAAATGGTGCTGGGGATGTCTGGACCACCTTGCTCAACCCTGGGGGCACTGAAAATCAACTTTGGATAAGTAGTGTCTTTGGACGAGATTCTGAACCCAAATGCTTGGTGCCTGAAGGCTGTGCAGTGTGTGTGTGTGTGTGTGCGTGTGGAAGATATAATTGTTGGAAACTATGAATAAACTGGTAGGGAAAAAGACCATCTTGTTAATACGGCTGCTGTTGCACACTTTACACACAAGCTACAGAAAATCCTACTGAGTTAGCCTCAGGCAGCTCACTGCTAGTTTGAGAGCTCTGCATCTCCCCCTCTTCATAAACCACAACCCCACCCCCAAAGTCCTTCATGAGCCCAATCAGTCGAGCATTAAAATATTCATATGGCAAATCCCACATGTATGTTAAATAGTCATAAAACAATATGACAAGAGTCCATTAACTCTGTAAGCCTGCCTATTATTTTGCATTAATTGATATAATAAAAAATAATTCAGCTGATATAACGAGTATTTTCTTTAATAGCTCACTGAGATTATGGTTAAATTAAAATCATGAGTCAGTTACTCTCAACTGACTCTGACATGAGGGGTATAACAGGGGTTGCACTGAAGCTTTACCAATATTTCTTTATTTTCTTTTTATATGACATTCCTTCCTGCAGCTGTAGTTTCAAGTCAACTATAGCATGATTAAAAGTTATAGAAGATCCGGTGTTGTTTCTCAGTTATGGATGACAGCATCTGCCGGATAAATCTAATGTGATATAATGGTTATAAATATATATATAATATAATAATATGATGGTTACATGAGTCAATATGCACTTATAACTCATCACTGCACAGGGGCAAAATAGGGGAATACGAGGACAGTACAAGCAGAAAAATGATTTATGATTATGTAACTACATTTTCAGCTCAGAATGTTGAATCATATTCAAAATAAGTGGTAGTCTGTATTTATATAGAGCTTTTCGAGTACTGATAACCAGTGGCTGGCGAGGTAAATGATAAATACAATACAGTGTCCGTGTACTGGAAATCTACGGCTGTGACTGATCTCAGAACAAAGCAAACATTGTTCAAAGTAACTTCATTGACAGGACCCAAGTTGGGCCAAGATCTTCAAAATAAAAGCACCAGTGCTTCTGCTATGAGTCATTTCACTTTACTCTACCTAACTTTATCATTCCATAGCATAACATTATTATAACAGCACCACGCATGGCCTACTGACCTCTTCATTTTTGTTTCTCGTGATTTTGAGAAAGTCTGGGCAATGCATCATGAATCTAAAATAAAACAATTATACTGATAATTAAACAGGTCTTGATGGTGTTAAAAGGGAACAAAACCCCCAATTAATCATAATATTGAATCACAATGCTAATAGAATCCAAATACTTAGAAATTGCAATACATATCGGTTGTGTAGCATCTCTATAGTTGTAACATACCAGAGGAAAAACTGGAGAAGGGTTTGTTTGCTGCATATGAATCCATATTTTCAGTTTGACATCGCCTCACTTTGACCAACAATATTTTGATACATGCAGTATGTGCAAGTTCTTTTATAATTGTGACAGTCGTTTTTGTTGTCCTGGGTTATAGTGTTTTGCTGTCACATGCCTTTTCTAGTGCCTCAGACCAATGTTGAGTACCACTACAAGGTTAGAAAGAAAGGAGGGGGGAAACAAAAGTTGCTGCCAAATGGACCCAGTGCAAGTGGAGTACAGCTATTGTTGCTATGCAATGAAGAATGTGCTGAAGCATGTCTGATATCCCTGTGCCAGCCCTGCCATCTCCCATCTCCCCTCCCCGGTCTCCAACGGAGGACTTGTCAACTAATCCGAACCGACGCTCCCACTCTCGTGGCATTCCCGTCGGACCTCGGCGTCAGTCTTACGCCCCATTTCAAGCTTAAATCAAGCATTCCATTCCACTCTACCACAAATACAGCTGACTGGGGCAAACTCTGTGATGTGGTTGAGAGATTTGAGAAAAAGCACCTCAGTTCCCATTTATAGGAAGTCAAGAGATTTTATTTTGTCTTCAAATTGAAATTGGTTTCGGGATCCAAGCTGATCTTTTAGGTCACAGAACATGACTTGTGTTTATTTGGCTGCCGCGTTAAGCTCTCTCTCTCTCTTTGTATGTGTGCGTATGTGCGCGCCCGTTTGTTTGTGTGTGTGTTTTGGCAGCAGTTGTGCAACACTCCTCCGTGACCAACCGGAGATAATGGAGCAAACTACTTCTCTGCTGACCGTGCGAAATGCTGTTCTTGTGGTGCTCTGTTTGATTCGCTGCCCAGACAAACCCCTCAGAGAGGAAATAGGCCCCATGTTTGTCTCTTGCTTCCTGTTTCAACAACTTGCATTGTCTTTAAAAGTGCTCCAGACCTTTAAACATTCGCAGACAAGGCCAAGGAAGGAACCACAAGCAAATTCTTTTTTTTTTGTTATGAAAGTGTGAGTTGGAGGCGAGGAGGAGAGGAAGAAAAGGATGTCTGGCTCTGAGTCAAACATCACAACAAGGCCGTGGGGATTATTGAAGTCCGCTAATGACCGCTGAGTGCTACTGAAAGAAGGTCTCTACACCACGCTCAATGCCAGCTGTCTAGGTTGCGAGCTAAGAGACCCGTGTCAGTGTAAACACACAATTTCTCTTCATGGCCCTGATGCTACAGTAGTACCATCTTAAGTCCTTTTCAAGGGATCAATTGAAGTGGACTGTGTGGGAGTGTGTGGCTAATCAACACTGGCACTTGCAAATGGCTGTCTGCCTGGAGGAGATAGCGACAGAAGGATTAACAAGCACTCATTACCACCGGGGTCCATGAGGAAGACAGGGGGCCAAACGGTCACGAGCCAAAGTGATGGGCTGTCTCACAGCAACAGGCCTCAACATGCTTCTCATCAGGCCTGTCTGAGCTGTGGAGCTGGAGAGGCATGTATCAACACTGGGACTTTAGTGATTTTCTAGTTCGAATAAAGGCCCCAGGAATATTTCCAAAACTAAATTTAGATATATCAATCTAACCCGTAATTACTCGACTTTATATTTCACATTAATGTGGGTACAACTGTGAACAAAATCCAAAATTTAAACCTGAGGAAAAGTCTCCTTGAATTTCTTTTTGGATATTAGTACTTTGGGAGCAAAAAGACATTGACGATAAAGATGCTGTAAGACGTGCAGTGAACTTCAGTTAATCTCTTGAAATTATCTGGAGGGGCTGAATATGAGAACGCAAATGTTGCTGCTGACATTATCCTGGATTTTTCCTGCCAACCCTCAAATAAAAACTCAATATATAAGTCTATAATGTCTGAGTGAGCCCATGGGAGAACACAGGATTTACTGCAAGTGAGTGATCATTGATGACATTTCTAAAAAAAAAAAAAGAATACAAGCATCTCTAGAAGACAAAGATCTCACCTTAAAGTGACAACCAGATTCGAGAGCATAAATATAAAATACAAAAACACACAATCTCGATATTACACGATATATGTCCTGCCGCCTAAGTCCCACATGCAGTGACTATGTTATAGCACGTACCTTTTGTATCTGCTTGCTCCGACACTTCATTAATGCTATAAGGTTGTCATGAGTGACACATACAACTCAAACAACCTGTGTTTACGCCTGAACCACTTACTAAGATAAATGTGAATTCACAACCATGCATTAAATACGCATTTCCTGAAATATTTCCTATTTTTTTCTCAGCTACAACAATTGAGGATAATCTTGGTTATAATGCAAACACTTCAGCATCACTTGTGTTGTTGCTGCATCAACCCTGACCCCACAACATCATACACAAACCCTTCAAATTTAAGTAGGAAGGTTCGCCCATTTAAAGCATATAAATAACTGTGATTGAGGTGAAAGGACTCTGAATACAAGCAAGCTTATAAAGTAGTTTTTACTTCCTGCTGATCATGAGAATCCAAACCCGAATGATCAGTTGCCACGTCTCCTGAAGAACCGCTCAAAACAAACAATGCTTCTGAACAAAGCGCGGCTGACGTAGTCAAGCTGCAACTTCCAGAAGAAAAAAAAAAACAGAGCTTTGATCAAGACGCCGCGGACGAGATGAAAACACTGTGAGTCGAGTGGCAATACTCCAGAGAGCACCTGTCAGCTCCGACACATTTTTACCACATCTACATCATGAGCTCGGTTGTAGCTTGATGAACACTTAAGTGCACAGAGGCCCGCGTTGCTCTGCAGTAAATTCCTTCAAGAGGAGTGATTGGATTCCACATCACTGTAAGAGTCTATCATTTCACAATTAGCAATGATTAAACAGGACTGTAATTTGGAGGGCTCGTCAAACCCAAAGCTGCTAAAGAGTGTTTAAAGATGCTGAAATATCTATCTATCTATCTGGTAACCATGGTGACATATGTTCGTCCACAGATGGGTGTATTTCCCTGATTCTAAAGGGAAAAGGAGAGCTACTTGTATTTTATCACTTCTATCAAATACACGATTATGATTCTGCAGTAAATATACCCTTTTACACAACTAGTGCAGTATCCGTTCCATACCTGCCTGTAAGGGTGGGGCTGTTTGCGGTAAAAGTATTCCTTGTCATTAGTAAGCCCCCCCCCCCAGGCCAACGATGTCACTTTTTATTGTTTGTGTGTTAGACATCGTGTGCAGAGATTTTTCATATAAGAGTGTAAATAGAGTGTTCATCCTACCTGGTTTATCTACAATGAAGATTTCTTTTTAGTAAAGGGTTTTCCTAAAATGAAACTGAATTGGCTTTATTACGTTATTATGTTCATGCATGGTTTATATAGAGGTTTGAATGATTTACTTCGCTGGTGTATCTATTCATATATTGCAGAAGTCAGAGGTCTGTTCAGCAATCTTCAAAACCAAGTTCACAACTTGAAATGAGCGTCGTGCTTTCACTTTGAAAACACCGTGATGCAAAGGAAGTGATTAAAAGCTCCTGTGGACTGTGGTTCAGTCAGCCCGCAGACAGACAGATGTTAATTTTCCTTCACCTACTACAAGTATTACTATTCGCCATGTAACCATGATCCTCCACTGAAACAGCAATCAAAAGAACATGCACTGATAAATACACTGCTGTCCTTAACACGTGATAGGATGAAGCCGCTCCTGGTACCATGAACTAATTCACGCTGCCATCAAAATATTTTCTCCCTGTGATCGCTCATTAGAGGGCCTCGCGTATCTCCACTTTACAAGCTCTTAATAATGCAGCTGGAGAGACGTCTAATGCGCTAATATGTCACCACAATTACCCATCACTAGGATCGCATGGTAACCAAAGTGAGAGGCTGCTAAGGCGTGTTAATATCGGCGTTGCTCAACAAGAAGACGATATTCCTCGTGGGGGCTGTTAAATCTAAAAAAATTCCAGGGCTAAGTAGTCGCACAGTCAGCGTGGAATATAATTATCTGAGGGTAATTTCATGAAAGTTGCCAGGGGAAGCTTTATGATATAAACATTATGTCCTGCTTTCCCGGCATGCGTCCCATCCATTATTGCGTGCCTCTTTCATAAGTGTTGGTGTATTGGCTGGGAAAGCGCGATGATGTATAGCATGTCCGAGAGTAAAGGGCCAAGTCTGGCGATGAATGATGGGAGCGGAGAAATTGGGTAATAACTACCACAGTGCACCAGCATGCATCAGTACATACAGGTCTATACTGTCACTCGTTTGCATGTGCGGTGATTTATTGCAGCAAAAGGCACAAACACACACACATAATGTGCCTGCATGTAGAGGTAGAGTGATTTATTACGCTGGAAAACACCGGTCCAACACGACTTTCAGTCTTGATCAGCCAAATGAAACATATATGAATGCACAGGTGATGCGACAGGTGCGTTAAGCACACACACTGTTGTGTATAAAGGTAAAAAAACGAGGGCTTGGGGTAGCCCGGGGGCGCCTGAAGGTTTTTGCATTTACATTTACGACCTCCACCGAGGAAGTTCTGTTTTTTTTTTTGTGGTTAGTTTGTTTGTTGGACAGCAGGTTTGGATGGTTCAGAAGAAAACGGATAATGGTGTAGATCTGAACAAAAGGGTCAGAGACATTGTGAGATGGTTTGTTTTTGAGATTTTCACTTAATTTACAAGGGAATAAGGCGTATTTAGTTAGGACACTGATATTTATGTGTTTACAATCTGTTGCAGCTTGATTGGATTTAACTCTTGAAGCTTGGTTTTAAAACATAAAACGGAACTTCTGTGTCGTAGGTATCTGTTTATGCCTGATGTACAAACTACTCCAGATTTTCAAAGCAGCAGTGATGCTTTTTAAAACTAGTGTGAATTTAGTGAAAGTGACTATCAGAGGATATTTACCTGAGTAAACCCAATTCATCATATTTATCATATTTAAAGTCAGCCATCTACTACTGATAGGAAACAGGAAACAAACAGCGGTCTCCTGCTTTTAAGTCTGATGTTTTGTTGACCCGTTCATCCTCCCTGACCTTGTCCCTCTTGTTTCACACCCTCACATGACTTCCTCCTTTGCTCCCAATCAACAAGAGTCATTAAGTACCACGGCTGCTGGCGAGCACTGTCACTTGAACCGTAACAGTCGATTTGGGCATTTGCTCGGAGAGGTAACTGAACAGAACCAGTGCATGACGACCTGCGTGTGCGTGATGTCGCGACGGGACCAAGTTACCTACCTTTGCACACTGTTTATGATTTTGACACCAGCCCAAGGATCCATTGTTCTAAAGAGATAAACGAAAAGAGGGGGGACAAAGACAGAATCACAAGAAAACACGTTGTTGTAATTGCATTAAGTGCAGGGAAATACATTTGAATTCCTTAATTATAGGTTAGCAATGTCACGGCATGGAGACAGGCAACATAATTACAGTTTATTCAGTGAACATCACAGAGCTACAGGGGGTTCACAAAAGTGCTATTCTTCTGTATCAAGACAAACGACTGTTTCATGGCTCTCCTGTTGCGAGCCTGAGGACATTTGTTGGAAAATAGTGAGTGCAGATCCAGGGTCATTGATCATGGTGGGACAATAGATCTATTTAATTTGATTTAATTATTTACAGCATGACTAAACTGGTATCTAATCAGCAGTGCCATGAAATTAACACTCGCCAGTGTATCCCTATGAATATTATTGATATGTATATATATAATCAATCTCTCACCTCCTTTCTTGCCTTAAATCCTCGACATAATCTATTTGTTTTCCCACGTTAAAGAATAAGACTGGCATTGGTCTATATTTATTCAATGTCATCAAATCCCACACACAACCAGGACCAACAATTTGTCCAGTTCTTAATACTTGCTGTAAGTGGCTCTTATTTCTAAGCCTGTTGGTTCCGGCTGTTGATAAAGAAATGTTAAATCGGGTTCGGGGGCAGCAGGATGGTGTGTGTCAAAATGATTCGGTCAAAATAAACAACAGAATGTGTTAGTGTGTGTATCCGTGGTAATACAAGATTATATCATCCGGTGCTACAACTTCACTGCTTTGTTTTAATCATTTTTCAAAAAATCCCTTGACGCTGAATGACCCTACATTATATTCTGTAACAACTCTCTCTATGTCACCTGCGTAAAGCCTGTATTAAGGTTGAGCATGTCTGTGGCACCGTTGCCAACAGCGTTGCTAAATCAGAACTACTTAAATATACACATATAAATAAATGCAAAAATCTTAACAAATTTACTTGACGAAATCACATAATAAACTTAAGGCAATTTCAATAATTTAACAATCTAGTTCCAGTGATTAATAAAGCAAAATACTTCTCCAGACTTCTCTCTGTTTACTAATGGATGGGAGTTTAATGTTAACTAGACATGTGAGGTGATGTTTATATATTGAGGCGTCGGAGTCTTGATTCGGTTTGTTGGGTACCAGCTGCGGAGGAACCGGATTTCGGTTCATCCACCACTTCTGCATTGGCACTGAACAAATTCGTCATATTAATTTAATTCCCCTGGCACTGGAAAGCTGAATAAGCTGCATTTAGGGTAAGTTACATAGAATGTTGGTCTTTTCTGGGTTTGTTGACGATAAGAAAAAATGATTCAAGACTAAAAAAACGATTCTCAAATCTGAATGGGGAACACAAAGTCCTCGTCCGTCATGTACTAACACTGAGGCTGGCATTAGAGACTGCTGTGTGTGCTGGTGATTCGAGATGAGAGCATGTGGCCTTTCAGACACTGACATTTGCTCTGTCAATAAATAAATAGAGCATGATTGATGGAGGGCTGAGTTAAATTGTCTCCTCTGGGGCTGGGGGATTAGTGGAGTGAAGGTCTCTTCCTCTCGCTCAACTTCCCCAAGTCTAACCGAGCTGCACTTCAGCAAATCGCTGCGCGATGCTCCAGTGGAGCTGCTCACACAAAGTTGACCAGGCAGCTCTCAGCAGTAATAACAATTATATCGGGACGCTGTGACTGATTGGAGGCCAATTGGTGTGGGCTAATATTCCTTATTGTAAAAATCCCCCAAACACACCACATAGACCTAATTAGGTGAAGAATACAAGTGGATATTAATCTAAAAGGCTTCTCACTGTCGAAAAGCGTCAAGACTGGTTGACAACCAATTAACTCAGACTCATTTGCTAATGATGATGCAAATTAAAGGAAAATAAACCGTAATAATTCTGCTGATGTGACACTTTCATGTGATCAAACTTTCACTAAACAAATGGGTTTGTATATCCACGTCGTAGGGGACCAGTGTTCGTAGACGGCCGCATACAAATGTGGATCATGGCGCTCGCTTTTCTGTGATCGCTCCTGAAATTCGCGAAGTAGAATCACAGCAATCGTGTATAAAATGATGAGTCGACTGTAAATTTGACTTATAATTTTGTGAAACAGGCGCAAAGGACCAGTGGTCGGTCAGGGAGACACTTCACAATGTCATTTGACAACCTGACGTGCACTTTTGTTGAAGGATAGTCACTAAAATTGACACAAATCCGGAGTGTGGTAGTGCTCCAGTGGATCCAAATCAATCCTTATTCTAACAACTACACATTGCACATAGACAGAGGGTCAGTAGGTTTGTTCTAAACCATGTAATAAATTAGCCTTAGCATGGAAACAGTACGGTCAACAATAGTGACTTTAACAAGGTCTTTTATAGCGGAGCTGGTAAAAATGTTTAAGAAAAGGAACCAATTTCTGGTTGGTAGCAAAAAAATAATCCGAAAATGTGTGATAGGGATGAATATAACAGTAAGAATATGACATTTTGTGCACCTAAAAACAGCATGTGCTTTAAAACTGAAAGCAGCATAGATAGTGACTCTGGCGCCTTTAGAAATGTGGGATTTCTCCACACAGCTCAACAGCTCTGTTACACAATAAATAACCATAAACCGTGGTTTGTTTCAGGGCCCTTTCCAGCACTGGGTCCCCGGAATCTGGAATACACCCACAAAGACAGTCCCAGCTTTTTTCTGAGAGGACCAGAGCAATAAAATCCAGCAGCAAAGGCCCTTGCAAAAGAGTCCTGCTGTTTCAGTGGACAGACAGGCAGTTGGACATCTACACTGACCCTGTCCCGTCACTCAGAGGGTTGGAGGTTTGATTCCCGTCGTAGTCTGACCCAGACATCCCCCAACCCGACCCATCCACACCCGTGAGGTCAATGCAAGAGTGTTTCGCGCTCCAGCAGCCATCGATTTGGCATCAGCGCTGCACAAAACTCTCACTGACTCACTTCTCCTGAATGCTGGGCACTGTCAGACAAAGAATGGAGTCGGTTAAATATGCTTTAGTATCTGAGGGGCAGATTTGACAACTTGGAGGTTGAGCTAGTTGTACACCACTAGGTTTGGTGGAGTTAAAAACATGCAACTATAACGCAAGAGAGAATCACAGAGGTGTTCATGATTTCGCCTGATTTCTCCTATTTTTCTGGACTGGACCATCATTCTGTGTTGCAATCATTGTTCTAAGTGTGTGCAGGGATGCTGTCAACATCACTCTGAAGCCTGGAGAGAAGAAGGGACGTGCTGCCCTGTGTGTGAGTGTGTGTGTGTGATGAGACTGATACTAAATGATCTGTATGAGTAATATAATCAAGATGACAAGTCTTATTTCTAAAAATTGAAGGCTTTCTGTCAACTCTATCAATTTGAATAAAACTAGAGGACTTTTGCAGCAGCAGTGCAATTATACCCATTATGAATATGTATGGATCTAAATATTACATTTTCCAATAATGCATTTTTAAACAAGATATTTTTAGATTCTGCTGAGAGCCTGATTAATTAAAATCTAATTTGAGTCACTGGCTGTTTAAAGCACCAGAGAATTACTTTTACCATCGTCTTAAGGTTAGAAATGGAAAGTTTCAATTCCAGTTGTTGGCCTCTGTTTATTTTTATTCTTGGACTTTTGGTTTTAGTTTTCTAGAAATCCAAAGAGTGTAACGATAAAACAAAATTAAGCAACTAAATCAGTGGGCTTTTGAGTATTGTATCAAGGCTTTCCTTTGATAAACACTTATAACATTGTGTTGTGCATTTCTTTCTAAAATGCACAGGATGGTTTCCACATTCCACATAAAGATAGATTTCCAAATAAAAAATTGAACTGCCTTACAAAGGAGCAGGGTTAAGGGTAGATAACAAGAAGATATAACGATGCTAGAAATATATTTGTTGCTCTACAATAACACCTCACCGCAGAGGATAGCAGAATCTTTTCAGTCATCTCCAATTCTGCGTAATAACTAAACAGCGTCACGTTTAATTGTTCCTCAGGAATCGAAAATGTGTTTTGATTCTACTTGCATGTACTTGTACTTCTTGACAAACATTTCCTCACATTTGAAGGTATTGTGTAGTTATATAAAAACATGAAGTCATCTGCTTGGTGTTGTACCTGTCGCCGATTTAGTGACTAAGTGTCCCTGGATCAAATTGGTCCTCGTTAGGCCTATGAGCAAATTGTGATCTGTGAATGTACACATGAAATGTGATTAATTGAGTGATTGATATAGTATGAAAATGAAGGTAATTACCATTTAAGTGTTATACAACTGCACACAAGAGAAACTACGTGTATGTATGCTGGTCACTTCCTGTCTGAGGTCATACTTTTCACACATATGAACAGAATCAGATATTTAAAGCCAACAAAAGGAAAAATCACATATTAACATCCAAAACATCTAATTTGACTTAAACTGTAAGGTTTGCAGTGTGGCCCTCTTAAACACTGTCAGCACTAATTATTTGTTTTATTGTGTGGCCCTTGAATGTGCAGGCTGTGATTCTATTTCAATGGCCCTTGAATGGGTTTCAAGACAGTACACATTTGGCTAAACTGCTGGAACTCAGCTGCGCGTCACGTCTGAGCGCACAGCAGCTCCAAGCGCCCGTGCGCTCCGGTGCCATCCACGTCCTTACCTGGAGCGATGTGGAGAGCGCAGCGACGCTGTGCAGGCTGAGGCACCGCGACGCACACCTCGCCCTGGACACGCTCTCCGGCCAGGACTCATCATCATCCGTCTCGGCGCGCTGCTTCCTGGCGCACACACCGGAGCCGAGGAGGAAAATAATCCACAGAGACGCGCTGCTTGTGGCCGGCATCCCTCTTCTTCGTGTCCAGGCTGCAGCGGGGGCTGTGGAGCAAGGGAATGCAGTGGGGAGTAATCTGATGGAAGTCCAGCTAAACTAGAAATTATATAGCCAAGGGAGGAGCTATAAGATCTAGGCGTACACAGTTAGGGTCAGGATGCTGAGAGGCTTCGGTTTGCGTGAAGCTCTCAGTTCACTGGAGCCACAGCCATGTGCCATATATGTCACCTGACGTAAAACTGTAAAGACAAATGTGATGGAGTAGTTTGCTCAGCTCATGACCTATAGGTACCTTTTTTTTTTTACCTCATAATATGATTTACATTGTAGTATATTCTCTTTGTCATGTCATAACAGTCCCATTTAGGACAAATGTCCAAAATGCCACAGATAAAGACGTGCATGAACAAACTAAAATTGCATGTGCTCATATTTGCGGTGGGTGAACTAAACGGATCAGTTTGTATCTGCTAAACGTGAGCGTAGTTCATCCATGGAATCACGCAGCCACATTGTATTCTATTAAAGTGAAGCGGAGCAAAAAAAGAGGTTTAAGTAGGGACTGCCAGTAAATCAAGATTGGCTTATAGGCCAAAACGAAAGGTATTGTGACAAAACATCAGAGGTAAGATTTAAGTTTCAGCGAGAGTTGGTCACAGAAAGATAATAAAAAGATTCTATTGGAATAGCATGTCCGTAGGTACTGGCTTTGTGGACATGTCTAGTTTGTGGATATGTTTTGAGAATGGTTATGTAGTTCATCGGGGTTTGGATTCAGGTTTTATTTATCTTGATCTATCTATCTATCTATCTTGATATATCTATCTTGATCTATCTATCTTGATATATCTATCTATCTTTCTTGATATATCTATCTTGATCTATATATCTCTACCTATCTATCGATCTTTATCAATCTATCTATCTTGATAAACAGTCTCTCAGCTAATGACATCAGCAAAAGATAACTTGTGTCAGGAGTCAGCAAACCTGGAGTCCGATCGAAGAAACCTGAGAGGTGTGTGTTAAAGCTACTGCGGTTTATAAAAACCACAACATGAAGCGTGAACATGCTTCACAAAATAGAGATCCCAGAGGAGTTAGAATGAGGAACTGTTGATGTGTTGAAGAGTTTAGAAATTCATCAGTCTACTGTCAGACAAACTGTCTGTGCGTGGAGACGGTTCAGTTCTGTGGCTACACTCCCCGGAGGTGAGCACCAGTCTGAGTCCGACGGCAGAGAATGTTAAATGAGAGAAAAAAAGAAACCCAGTGTAACAACTAAAGGCTTAAAGGAATCAAGCTGGCAAAGGTCTGTGTTTATGAGTCTACAATACTCAGATCATTTCGCCAAACAAACTTCCCCTTGCACCTGAAGTTTGCCAAAGAGCAGCTTGATAATTGGTTTGGGAAAAACAAGCAGCACTGTACATGGTGTGAAAAGGAAACGGCATACCAATGTGAAAACTGTATCCAAATACAGAAGTATTGCAGAGGTTGCATTGTGATTTTGGGCCTGGAATCCTGAACATCATCATGAAGGGAATAAGGTTTATCAAGATATTTTACAGAATTCAAAACAACTTGTTTCACAATACAAGGTACAACAGTGTTATAGTTCAAGCAAATCACACTTGGTCTACGTTTCTGACTTGATGAAGATCAGATGTGCAGACTTTCTGCTGTCCTAGTGCAACGGGGAGCTCGTTCCACCATTTAGGAGACGGGACAGCAAACAGTCGGGATCTTGTTTGGTGGTTTGTTCGCAGTGAGGGAGCAGCAAGCCGATTGGCAGATGCAGAGTGGAGTGGACGGGCTAGGGGTGTATGGTTTGACAATTTCCTGGATGTAGACCGGACCCGATCCGTTCACAGCACGGTACGCAAGTACTAGTGTTTTGAAACAGATGCGGGCAGCTACTGGTAAAGGAGCGGAGTAGTGTGAGTGAATTTGGGTAAGATAAAGACCAGTCAAGCTGCTGCTTTCTGGATGAGCTGCAGGATAGGTAGCCCAGCCAGGAGGGAGTTGCAGTTGTTTAGGCATATTTATGGTTCAGTGTCTTACCCAAGGACACTTTGTTATGTAGAATGGGGAAAACTGGGATCGAACCACTGGAAACCTGTCCAGAGCGTACCCTATCTCAAGCTAATGTTATAACCGGGATGGCTGCACATTTAATTAGTTGTTTGATCATTTATCTTACCACAGTGTGCAAACACCGTGAGTTTTTCTCTCGTTTATCTGAACCCAAGTAAAGGTTTCCGTTAGAAATCCATAAAAAACTTGACAATGAAACCGGGAGCCATCATCACAAGAGCACTGGGGAGTGATGACAGCTACAGTACGAGTCTTATATGAATGTATTAACAACAGTGCTGCCACGACTTCAGCAACACTCATTATGTTACAGTGCTTCATAAGCTTTATGGCATATTTCCAGGAGTTTTATTTAGGGTCAGATGTTGGAGCTATCTCACACCTCTTGCTGTTATATTAATGCAGAGGAAACATTTATGTTGGAGAATCCGTGACTTTACACACAGGTGGAACCTTTTCCAGGAGAGGGAGAGTGCTTTCTCCTCGGTGTAACCAAGGGGGGGGGGGGACGCAGGCGATATGTTTTCCAGGGAATCCCAGCTGTAGTTTTCACTGGTAGCTCCAAAACAACAGCATTTTTATGGACTCCCCTATTAAAGTAACCACAAACATATCTCTCATAAGCAGGCAGGGCACCGCTAGTTTCCTAGCCTAGGGAAAGAAGAAAACATGACGCTTTGGAAACTCTGAAGAGATCCTCCTCGGGGTTGCCGGTTCTCTCATGCCTGGCACAAGGGCCCCCGCTTGCGCTGCTGGAGAATCCCGCAGTGTTAACAAGATGCCTATATTTCCCAGCCGCTTTGCATTTACAAACACACTCATACTGTGGTGCTGCTCCCTGTTTGGTTTTATAGAACTGCGTCTTTATGAGCCTGATGGGCCTTTTGCAGCTGAGAGTTTTTACCTCTGATTCATAAAGAGTCAGGTTCATTACGAAGCTATGTGTAAAATCCCACGGACTAAAAGGCAGCAAGGGTTCTCGACTGAATGTCTTGTGTTTGACCCAGTTCACTGAATCCCTCTCAGTACACCCACCGGAAAAAAAATAACATGGAGCCAATGACCCAAATATCGAGAGTGTTTTCTGTTTTGTTTTGAATCTGCGGGGGGGGGTATTCCTAAAATAGGGTGTTAATGCAATGAGTCTCTTGGGAGCTGATGCTCTGGTGGTCCACTCACAACAGGAAGGAGAAAATCCCTCTGAGCTCCCTGCTGAGAGCTTGACTTACTTCACAAATAAAAACAACACACTATGACGATGTAATTGACTCATTGTGTGTTCAGCCGTGTGTGCCAATTTGCTGGGGCTAATACTCATCCTTTTTCTCCCCAAAATGTCAAATACAGTTCAATTACAAAAGCCAACAGCAGCTGAATGAACGCAGAAGCTTTATTAGACAAAAACTTTGACCCTGACGATGTTGTTTGGATAGAGATCAATAGAAGTTGAGCGTTGACTCCACCTCTCCGCTGCCATTCACGAAAACAGCAAAAGAATGGTGTTGCGTCACTCCTGCTCCGAGGGTCTGTGGTGTTCCTGAATGAGGACAATAACAACCCTGACTGGTCAGTGTACTGAACACTGACAATGTGGACACTGACCTTGGCCCACCCTCCACTTGACTACTTGCACTAACACAATACTGCATTGTTCACAGTTTATTTGTGCAATTATACCAGTTATTAACAGTGCAACACCCTGTTTAAATGTATAGGAATTAAAATGAAGAGGAATGTATTTAATTATTTCTCTTAGTGAATTCTCTTTTTCTTGTGTTATGTGTGAATTAGGCTTTCCACTATCTTCATCTGTCTTTATATCTATCTTGATCTATCTATCTATTTATCTATCTTGAACTATCTACCTATCTATCTATCTATCTTGATCTATCTATCCATCTATCTTGATCTAGCTATCTATCTTGATCTAGCTATCTATCTATCTTGATCTATCCATCTATCTTGATCTTTCTATCTATCTTCATCTATCTATCTATCTATCTATCTATCTTCATCTATCTATCTTCATCTATCTATCTTCATCTATCTATGTATCTATCTTCATCTATCTATCTTC